AAATACTACATAAGACCAATGAAAAAAAAAAGGTTTTTCAATACAGAAATGTTGGCTTACTGAAAAGTAAGTCCATGCACAGTATAGTATGCACTCGATACTTGGTCGGGGCTCCTTTTGCATGAATTACTGCATCAATCGGCATGGCATGGAGTCGATCAGCCTGTGGCACTGCTGAGGTGTTCTGGAAGCCTAGGTTGCTTTGATAGCTGCCTTCAGCTTGGCTGCATTATTGAATCTGGTGTATCATCTTTCTCTTGACAATACCCCACAGATTCTCTATGGGTTTAGGTCAGATGAGATTGCTGGCCAATCAAGCACAGTGATACCATGATCATTAAATCAGTTATAGGAACATTTGGCAGTGTGGGCAGATGCCAAGTCCTGCTGGAAATTGAAATCAGCATCTTCATAAAGCTGGTCAGCAGAGGGAAGCATGAAGAGCTCTAGAATTTCCTGGTAGACGGCTGCGCTGACTTTGGACTTGATAACACACAGTGGACCAACACCAGCAGATGACATGGCTCCCAAAATCATCACTGACTGTGGAAACTTCACACTGGACCTCTTGCAACTTGGATTCTGTGCCTCTACACTATTCCTCCAGACTCTGGGACCTTGATTTCCAAATGAAATGCAAAATTTACTTTGGACTACTTAGCAAAAGTCCAGTTGTTTTTCTCCATAGCCCAGGTAAGACACTTCTGACGTTGTCTCTGGTTCAGGAGTGGCTAACACAAGGACTGCGACAGTTGTAGCTCATGTCCTGGATACGACTGTGTGTGGTGGCTCTTGAAGCCCTGACACCAGCCATAGTCCACGCCTTGTGAATCATCCCTAAATACTTGAATGGCCTTTGCTTCACAATCCTCTCAAGGCTGTGGTTATCCCTGTTGCTTGTGCACCTTTTTCTACAACACTTTTTCCTTCCACTCAACTTCCATTAATATGCTTGGATACAGCACTCTGTGAAAAGCCAGCGACTTTAGCAATTACCTTTTGTGATGTACCCTCCTTTTGGAGAGCGTCAATGACTGTCTTCTGGACAATTGTCAACTCTGCAGTCTTCCCCATGATTGTGTAACCTACTGAACCATATTGAGAGACGATTTAAAGGCTTGGGAAACTTTTGCAGATGTTTTGAGTTAATTGGCTGATTCAGGTATGACACCATGAGCCTACAATATTGAACTTTTTCACAATATTCTAATTTTCTGAGATACTGAATTTTGGAATTTCACTAGCACTAAGCCATAATCATCAAAATTAAAAGACAAAAATGCTTGAAATATATCACTCTGTGTGTAATGAATCTATATAATACAGACGTTTTACTTTTTGAATTGACTTACTGAAATAAATTAACTTTTTGTTGATATTCTAATTTATTGAGATGCGTCTGTAAGCACACCGGGTGTGAGACGTGGGGACTAAGGGAAGAGGTCTTACCAATGAATCCCCAAGAGACACAAGAAGCTTTCAGGTTTTTACCTCAGCACTGAACACTGAAATATTGGTTTGGGAAGGGCAGACACTTTATACTGGTTGTGTAAATTATGAAGAATTCCACTTTAAGTATGTTTCGCACTGCAAATGATCTGATACAACATGAATTCTGATTGGTTTACCTGGATGGATTCCAGATATGACAAGAGGATGGGTTCAATCTTCTGGAAATTGATGGTCGCCAAAACTAGAGAGAAAAGAAGAGGTATTTAGTAAATACACAGAGACAAGAAGCACAAACTACTATACCACATGCAGGTCTTTCCTGCTTCAAAACATAATGCTGCTGTATTACCACTTACATTATCACAACATACACAACAATCTCTCCATATATTGGTGCAATGGTCATCCAATGGTTTGCTACACAACTTTTAGGTTCACAGGAAACGGGGGGGGGGGTAAATCACACACTGGATTTTAGCATTTTTATATTTTTTGTGGGCTGCTACAAACATGGATCATTAATTCCTCCTTACGTATGGAAAGGTTAGAACCCCTAACATCTGTTTCCCATTTGGGAGATAACCCTTTATTTCTTGTCTTGTAGACACAACAGGAAGTGAGAAATATTCTCCAAAGCTAGGGGAATCCTCTCTCAGACATTTGTCACTGGAGGAACATACTTGTCATTGAAAGAACACACATTTATTCCTAAACCAAAAAAAAAAAAAAGATACACTTTAGGTGTTATAATTCAAAACAAATTAGAAATCCATCAGGAAAAGTGGAAGGTCTTGTAACTACCAGGGTAGGTGTGCAGAAACCTTAACACTGAAGATTCTGATACAAGAGACTGTTAAAGCTAAACTCCAGGCAACCAGATAAATTCACACCTGGCATCCCTTTATCTGGGCTAATATGCCTGAGGAAAGTGTGGGTGGGGGGTATGAAGTTTGTCTGATCATGTGACCATCATAATTGGCTGTCACAGTGGTCACGTGATCAGAGGTCTCCCAATCATTACTAGAGACAGGGACCTGTTTTTAACAGTTCAGTCTCTGTGCTGGGAGTATGTAGTGAACTTGCTGTCAGCACAGAAACCTCTGCTGCCCATAGACACATATGTCCATGGACTTTAAGCCTACCCCCTTTGCCGCTACACCTTCAGCCTGAGTATGGACAATGAAAGAGCAGCAGCATATTAATAGGAGAATACTTCTGCTCTGTCCTCCTAAAGGAAGCTGCCAGTGTTAGATGGACAATAGCCAATGCAGGCAGTAGAGTCACTGTGCTATCCCTCAAAAGTCCAAGTCAGGAGTGTGCAGGGGTTTTTAAAACAAGAAAGATTAGGTACATATGCTAGTCATATGTAAAAACACATTTCTAGAATAAACAGTGTTTTCATGTTTGCTTAGCTGTCGCTTTAGGTCCTTTCCACACAGGGCAGGCTCTGCTAAGAATCGGCTTGCACAGCAGGGAATCTGTATGCTAATCAAACACTGAGCAGGCAGATGACAGGTCCATGTCCACTCCGCTTATGCAGAGCGGACACAGACACAGCCCACTCTCCTCTATGGACAGTTGGATGTAAATGGACCACCTGTCCATTTACACCAGACTGCCATCTGATCCCATCTGCTAGACGGAAGGGGAACAGATCCCCATCTGTCTGTGTTAAGAGGACTGGATGTTGGCGGGTGTAAACACACACGTTTGTTTACACCAGCCGCCCCATAGAGGAGAATGGATGGTCCGGTCAGTTGCGCCTGAAAAAATGACAGGTGGACCCCATCAGTCAGCTCATGTGAAAGTAGGCTTAAGGGCCAGTTCACACTACAAAATGCACTCCAGATGCATTCCTGATACGTTCTTGCTTACAGTTCACACCACACATAGTTCCGGTGCAGTTTTGATGCAGTTTGCCATGTTCTAGTATGGTTCTGTGCAGAAAAATATGCAGCATGTTCTACTTTGTTTTTCTGAACCGGAAACTGACTGGAACTGACTGCACTAGTGTGAACCAGGATCATTGGAATACATGAAAAACACTGTACATGCATTTTTGATTCAGAAAAAAAAAGCGCATAAACTGCATTTAGTGTGAACTAGCCCTAAGTGATTATTTCTCCTGCATCTACTAAAAGCTGAAACATTAGATTAAGATAGAGTGAACATGTGTGTTTCACACTGATGAACCCCATTCTATCTGAGCATCTTAAATAAAGTAAAACTGAAAAGTTACTTATGAAGAAAGCATTTAAGATTTTCTTTGCTCTCAAAAAAAGGGAATTGTGAATCCCAATAACTTACAAGATTTTTTCTGAACTCCTGAAACAGATCAGCTCTTTATTGACAGCCACATGTGCCTAGCCTTGTGGCTGTAATTGTGCTCCTGAATATGGGGCAGCACAGTGGCTTAGTGGTTAGCACGTCTGCCTTGCAGTAAATGGGTCATAGGTTCGATTCCCGACCCTGGCGCCTCCTGCTTGGAGTTTGCATGTTCTCCCTGTGCTTGTGTGGGTTTCCTCCGGGTACACTCCAAAGACATGCTGGTAGGTTAATTGGCTCCTGTCTAAATTGGCCCTAGTATGTGTATTTATGAATGTGAGTTAGGGACCTTAGATTTTACACCCCTTGAGGGTTAGGGAAACGGGAAATAGACTGCTTTATTTTAACACAGACACAAGGGAACCCACCTCCCTGCATAAGGCCACAGGGCGGGGCAAACCAAATCTAGTGACAAGAGACACATAGCTGACACCCCCCCCACCAAGCCAATACACAAACACATACATCCCATAATAGTTTGCTCCTAAGCCAGACACACAATAGAACAATAGGATACAACCACATGGCATTAAACAATGAACAACCCCCACACCCCACCTATACATGTCTACTCAACAGCAGGACATTTCACCCTGTACCCCTAACAGGCACAGGGTGACTTACACATAAGAGGGATATGGGGAGCTGAGACAGGTGTCTCCCTACCTCTCCAAAGTGAGCTGTGTTCCATTGGCCCCCCCCACCCAAAGTGACTCCCGTTACAGGGACCTTAGATTGTACACCCCTTGAGGGTTAGGGACTGATGTGAATGTACAATATATATGTAAAGCACTGCGTAAATGGATAGCACTATATAAGTACCTGAAATAAATAAATATGGAAAAGGTAGCAGGAACTGAACTGAAAGACTATCAGGCTGGTCAGAATGGAGAGTACTTGAGTAGGGATCACAAGTCTAGTTATGTTGAGCAGATCAGAAGGAACTATAAAAGCCCTTGTGATCCCCCCATACTATAATCTGATAGTTCTGCCCGTCTTGAAAACCAAATGCCAATGTTGCCCTGCTTGATGGTAACAAGAGTAATTATTACATTTTATGAATTTCAATTTAACAACACCTAACAGGTAAATGAACTCTTATATTACTGTAAAATGAGCCAGTCACTTTCAGTAGGATAATTTTCTCTCTGCAAAACTGTTAGAGAGCAGCACAACAATGGTAATTTATATGCTGAAGAGGACGCCTTACCTCCGTCAATACTGCCTGAGCTGATTCCATCTTTGTTGTCAGATGTCAATAACAATTCCACAATCCCTCGCCGTTCGAGAGCCTAATGCAACAAGATACAAATCAGTTAAACAGGCAAGCTCAAGTGCACAGTATCATTTACTACCAAACAACTATGCTTCACAATATTATATATGGTGATCAGAGACATCATTGTTTTAGCTGGAGATTAGTGAAGGCACCGCTGTAAAATAAAATGTATCTTGAGAATAAAACTCAAGAGTGTAAATCGCAGCAGCAAATTAGTTCCCTCTATTAACACAGTTAAAAGGATAATGGACATTTATCAAACTATTGGAGGCTGAAGACAGGTTGTTGGTATTAGTGGAAGGAATAGCGCCCCATCATTGGTGTCAGTGGAAGGAATAGTGCCTCGTCATTGATATTAGAGGAAGGATTAGTGCCCTATCATTGGTGTCAGTGGAAGGATTAGTGCTCCATCATTGATATCAGTGGAAGGAATAGTGCTCCATCACTGGTGTCAATGAGAGGAATAGTGCACCAACATTGGTGTCAGTGGGAGGAATAGTGTCCTATCATTAGTGCCAGTGAAAGTATTAGTGGGAGTTAAAAGGGCCCATCGCTTATTTCATTGGGAGGAAAAATGCCTAATGTATTGTTGGTGTAATTTGCAGGAATAATGTCTCACTGTTGGTGTCAGTGAATTGTGTCTCATTGTTGGTATCAGTGAAAGGAATAGTGGCCCAAGGACCAGATAAAGGCAAGAAAGGGCCACATTTGGCCCGTGGCCTGCAGTTTGGAGGAAACAGTTTTAGTACAATAAAGTAAAAAGCAGAAATAAATTAGCTGCATGTGGAAGCCTAATATGATCTCCAATGTACTGCAAATAAAAAATATAGTGCGGGGACACTTTATATTTATATACTGTATCTTACTTTTCAAAAACCTGGGATTTTGTAACTTTTTGTATGTTTCATACTTTATCTCGTAAAACAAATGTAAATGCTAAATGAATTACATTTGCAGCCACTTTTCAGAGAATTGTTGCTCTACATAAAGATGGCCTAGGCTATAAGAAGATTGCCAAGACCCTGAAACTGAGCTGCAGCATAGTGGACAACACCATATAGCGGTTTAACAGGACAGGTTCCACTCAGAACAGGCCTCATCATGGTCGACCAAAGAAGCTGAGTGCACATGCTTAGCGTCATATCCAGAGGTTGTCTTTGGGAAATAGACGTACGAGTGCTGCCACCATTGCTGCAGAGGTTGAAGGGGTGGGGGGCTCAGCCTGTCAGAGCTCAGACCATACACCGCACACTGCATCAAATTGGTCTCCATGGCTGTTGTCCCAGAAGGAAGTCTCTTCTAAAGATGATGCACAAGAAAGCCCGCAAACAGTTTGCTGAAGACAAGCAGACTAAGGACATGGATTACTGGAACCATGGCCTGTGGTCTGATGACACCAAGATACACGGATTTGGTTCAGATGGTGTCAAGCGTGTGTGGCAGCAACCAGGTGAGGAGTACAAAGACAAGTGTGTCTTGCCTACAATCAAGCATGGTGGTGGGAGTGTTATGGTCTGGGGCTGCATGAGTGCTGCCGGCACTAGGGAGCTACAGTTCATTGAGGGAACCATGAATGCCAACATGTACTGTGACATACGGAAGCAGAGCATGATCCCCCTCCCTTCAGAGACTTGGCCGCAGGGCAGTATTCCAACATAACGACCCCAAACACACCTCCAAGATGACCACTGACTTGCTAAAGAAGCTGAGGGTAAAGGTGATGGACTGGCCAAGCATGTCTCCAGACCTATACCCTATTGAGCATCTGTGGGGCATCCTCAAAAACGGAAGGTGGAGGAGCACAAGGTCTCTAACATCCACCAGCTCCGTGATGTCATCATGGAGGAGTGGAAGAGGACTCCAGTGGCAACCTGTGAAGCTCTGGTGAACTCCATGCCCAAGAGGGTTAAGGCAGTGCTGTAAAATATGGGGGCCACACAAAATATTGACACTTTGGGCCCAATTTGGACCTTGTCACTTAGGGGTGGACTCACTTTTGTTGCCAGCGGTTTAGATATTAATGGCTGTGTGTTGAATTATTTTGAGGGGACAGAAAATTTACATGTTATACACGCTGTACACTCACTACTTTACATTGTAGCAAGTGTCATTTCTTCAGTGTTGTCACATGAAAAGATATAATAAAATATTTACAAAAATGTGAGGGGTGGACTCACTTCTGTGAGATACTGTATATACTTTATTTAAAGTGATTCTAAAGCTTAATTTTTTTTTTTGTGTAAAATAGCAAACATACTTACCTGCTGTGTGCAGTGGTTTTGCACAGAGCGGCCTGGATCCTGCTCTTCAAGCTGTACACTCACTACTTTACATTTCTTTGTCATTTCTTCAGTTTGGTCACTTGAAAGGGTATAATAAAACATTTACAAAAATGTGAGGGGTGTACTGACTTTTGTGAGATACTGTAACAGGTGTTTTTGCTGGTTTATAGCTTGATCAGCATATCGCTCTGGTGAGTTCATTTAAGCTATTAGGTGGTGGACGAGCACTGTATGGTGATTTCATAAGGGTGTCACTAATATAGCAGAATCTCACTTGGCGTGGTGGAATGGTTTGGAGTTTGCAAGAATATATGCTGGACTTTATAATTTGTCGGACATTATATCACTTGCACTTTATATATGGATTGCACTGGACACTTTAATATTTTTGAGTTTATATATATATGTGATGAGATTTATGTTGTAGTGATGCACAGATTGATTTGCGCTTCAATTTGCACTGGACACTTTTATATATACATTTTTTAAGTTGTTTGTGTAAGTGACTAAAAGCACATTTAGATATGTTATGCCCATAATATTAGCACTTTAGAAGGGGGGGCTATATATTTAGATTGTTTGTTTGCACAATTTTTGCACTGTTTGTATATCTAAAAGAGTAGCACTGTTCCCATTTATTGACAACCTACAAACTGGTGGTCATACCATTTAGAACGGCAGCTGCCCTGTTTGGTATTTTTTGAATATCTAAAAAGGTCCAAAAGCACAGTCCTATATTATATAATTTTTTTCAAACCACAGCTTTAGCATACACTGCTCACAGATTTGATACTTCATAGAAATGCACTTCCTAGGTCAGCGTTTTGTATATTTTATCAATTGTACTACCTCAGTACTAATGCAGAGCAAAGATGGAAATAGCATTGCAGTAATTTACTATTAAAAAATCAGCGTTCAGCACCAACAAATCTGTACAGAAGGTGTAGTACTCACTGTCTTTATGAACTCCATGTAGTTGGCATCCTTTGCATAAGAGCCATACTCATTCTCCACCTGGACAGCTATTATCGCTCCTCCCCGCATGTACTGCAGAAAGTAAAATGTGACAGTTTAGGTCAGGTGTCTCCAAACAAAAGAACCAGTTTAATATCCTTCAGACTGTCGAACTGTGGCCAGTAGCAGTAGAATATGTCCTGGCATTGGGAGTAATGCCCCATCATTAGTGTCAGTGGAAGGATTAGTTCCCCATCATTGGTGTCAGTGGGAGGAATAGTACCCCATCGTTGGTGTCAGTGGGAGGAATACTGCCCCATCATTGGGGTCAGTGGGAGGAATAATGCCCCATCATTAGTGTAATTGGAAGGATTAGTTCCCCATCATTGGTGTCAGTGGGAGGAATAGTGCCCCATCTTTGGGGTCAGTGGGAGGACTAGTGTCCCATCATTGGTGTCAGTGGGAGGAATAATGCCCCATCATTGGTGTCAGTGGGAGGAATAGTGCCCCATCATTGGTGTCAGTGGGAGGAATAGTGCCCCATCATTGGGGTCAGTGGGAGGAATAGTGCCCCATCATTAGTGTCATTGGAAGGATTAGTTCCCCATCATTGGTGTCAGGGGGAGGAATAATGCCCCATCATTAGTGTCATTGGAAGGATTAGTTCCCCATTATTGGTGTCAGTGAGAAGGAACAGTGGTCCTATCATTGGGGTCAGTGGGAGGAATAGTGTCATAACATTGGTATCAGTGGGAGGAATCACTGGTATCAGAAGAAGGAGGATTAATGCCCCATTGTTGGTGTCAGTGGGAGGTATAGTGCCCCACTGTTGGTGTCAGTGGCAGGAATTGTTCCCCATTGTTAATATTGGGAAGAATAATGCCCCAAAGACTGGATAAAGGCAAGAAACAGGCCGAAGTTTGCTGACCACTGGTTTAGGCTGTAAGAGAGGCATTCAGCAACTTCCATTGTGTTCTGTGAATGCTATCCCACCCTTATTAAAAACTGTCTATACTGCCCCACAGTGATCCATCATAGAAAAGCATTGTGGAAAATAAATGTAAATGCTTGTCTCCGATTGGTTACTAAGAAGGAATAAAAATAGTTCTTATTTCATGCACTTTAATCTACTTTTCTTTTATTAAACATCCCTAAAACAATTTAAATTAAACCTGTAATTATTCAAATAAAAGGGGCAGCTGCTACTGACACAGTTGGTTTCCTGGTTGTCATTCCCACCCTGTGGGTTCACTGCTTCGCGAGACTGATCTGAAACAAGTAGGCAAGATGTTGAGTCAGAAATCCCAACATAGATGCTTATTCTGTATGACAGCTAGGGGACTCACAACTTTTGAAAAAAAGGTACACTATATAAAAGTACATCAGTACTGTTAGGAATATGGAATCTGGCATTGCTGACCTCCTCCTGAGAATGGTAGTCGCCTGGCTTCAATGGTGTCTGTATCACTGACCTGGAACCTGCTGGCAAACCAGGAACAATCAATGTGATGTAAGAGTGCCTGATCTAAACACTTGTTCCAGGCACTGAAGCCATTGGAACTATTCCTACTAATATGGGGCACTATTCCTCCCACTGATACCAATTATGGGGCACTATTCCTCCCAATTATACAATACCAATGATGGGGCACTATTCCTCCCAATAATACCAATGATGGAGCACTATTCCTCCCAATAATACCAATGATGGGGCACTATTCCTACCACTAATACCAATGATGGGGCACTATTCCTACCACTAATACCAATGATGGGGCACTATTCCTCCCACTATACCAATATGGGGCACTATTCCTACCACTAATACCAATGATGGGGCACTATTCCTACCACTAATACCAATGATGGGGCACTATTCCTCCACAATACCAATGATGGGGCACTATTCCTACCACTAATACCAATGATGGGGCACTATTCCTACCACTAATACCAATGATGGGGCACTATTCCTACCACTAATACCAATGATGGGGCGCTATTCCTACCACTAATACCAATGATGGGGCGCTATTCCTCCCACTAATACCAATGATGGGGCACTATTCCTCCCACTGATACCAATGATGGGGCACTATTCCTCCCAATAATACCAATATTGGGCACTATTCCTCCAAATAATACCAATATTGGGCACTATTCCTACCAGTAATACCAATGATGGGGCACTATTCCTACCAGTAATACCAATGATGGGGCACTATTCCTCCAACTAATACCAATGATAGGGCACTGTTCCTACCAATAATACCAATGATTGGGCACTATTCCTACCACTAAAACCAATAAGGGGCACTATTCCTCCCACTAGTACCAATGATGGGGCACTATTCCTCCCAATAATACGAATATGGGGCACTATTCCTACCACCATAATACCAATGATGTGGCACTATTCCTACCACTAATACCAATGATGGGGCGCTATTGCTCCCACTGATACCAATGATGGGGAAATATTACTCCAACCAATACCAATGATGGGGCATTATTCCTACCACTAATACCAATTATGGGTATTCCTCAGCCTACTGATCTCAGGTGTTAAGTAATTTTTTTGAATCTCCACTGACCATCAAGCCTGAGGCACTGTTCACTCCCAATGATGTTGGGATATTTTCTACCACCACCAGCCCCTCTAAAGTCTAAAGGACAGTAAACTGGCCATTTGTTTAAAACGTTTTGAGACCTCTGCTGTATGCAAATTCATCAAATCCATTATAAAAGTCTGCAAAAATTAATCACTTGCAGGTAGAGGAATGACGGTCATTTCTGACATTGCTTTCCCCTTCTACTAATTTCTTAAAGCCTAACTACATTAAGTGCCATAAATAGGTCTGGAAATGCTTAAAGTATGTAGGCAGATCTCTGGTGTACCATAACTAACACCTGGGTCCCTGTGATAGGTAGAGGAGAGACAGACTCCCTTCATTGGGGCTTCAGCTGAGAAGAATCTGAAAAAAACAGAGATACTTGGGGATAAAGAGTAGTAAGATCATAGAGAGCTTGCTTTGACCTCTGATTCAGCTGCATAGTTGACTGAACCAGCAATCAAAGTGCTGTAGAATGATAAAAAAAATCCCAAAATAATGCTCTCTCTTTCACTTTTCCTCCCTTGAATGTTTCGGTCCTTCCTGCTAGCAATGACTTGGCAACCTGCAAGTCTTCTAATCTGAATTGCAAACACACAGGCACAAAAGAGAGAAGAACAGAGTGATGAGCCCCCACTTCAATGACTTAACTGCTTCTCTTTTGAACTTTGGACATTAATTATTCCACAGTGCCTGCAGTTACAGAGGTCAGTGAGGGCTTGTTTTTAAAGCTTATTTAAAATACATGAGTGTCCACATCCTGGGTACAGTTTTACTTTAAAGGTCAATCCCACGTGAAATTGATCTGCTGCTTGGTTATTTTTCAGAGGTTTAATCACATTCGGTTATGAACCCAACAGTAGGACAATCATATCTCAGACTTTAAGGTATTTGTATTTGGTGAAAAAAATGGTGTTAGATTTTTCATCCTGTAACCAGACAGATGTTACACTCACTTGATGTCCAGCCACTGTGGATATAAGCTGATCAAAATATGCTTCAGTCGCCTCCACAAAGCCTTTATGTGTTGTGCGTAGTTGCATGTCCTTGTCTCGCAGTAGCCAGCTGTGAAGAGAAACCGTGCCAGAGCGGGACGCATGGGAAGATGATAAATTCCTGTCACATATGCAGCAGAAAGGAGATACTGGGACACACAGCTGTGAGTGGCCCCTGTAACTCACAATACAGCTTGTATACACTCACCTAGGTAATCCTCCCAGATCCCACTCTGAGCATATATATGGCCCTGGGCGTAGAATCACCCATAATCCCACTTCAGCTGCTATATCTAGAAAGGTCCTGTATACAACCAGAAATAGTACTTATTAGCAATGGTAATATATAACTTGGAGAGCACTGACATGTTTTGCAGTATAAAGCACCTGTACTTTCAGAGCTGAAGATAACACACCATATGATTGAAATATACAAAGATGGACGACAGACAAAATGGCTATTACATATATTTGGCTCAGACTTTGCCTTCTAAAGCATCCCAGATAAACTGCATTTCTGTTGTCCATGAAGGTACATTCTGACTGCAGAAATATGTCCATGGAAGAAAGAACGATGTACATGAAAGAATATTCTGATATTCTTGGAAATACAATACACACACAGATATAATATATATATATATATATATATATATATATATATATATATATATATATATATATATATATATATATATACACACACACATACACATACATACACACACACACATGCATACACACGGTATATATTTCCTGGCCTACCTCATGTCAGCACAGGATGGATTAATTTTGATTTGCATATTTTTGAATAATCCCACACTTCTTGAGGAACGGTATGCAAATTGTATGCAAATTAGGGTGACCATGGTCCTTTGCAATTGGATCAGAACACTCTCCCCAATGTGCAAAAAAAGGAGTATGACAAAACAAAAACAAAAAATAAATAAATAACCTGGTCTTTTGACTAAGGTCAGTGTGCTTGTGCCTGGTCTTGGCCATAGGTAACAACTGGTGCCAATTTTTGCTTCTCGGCCTTTTGGCTAAGATCCTAGGATCAGCGCCCTCGGCCTGGTGGGGTATCCCAAGCCCCACCTGCTGCTTTAGGGGGGTAGCGCTCCTTGAAAAGCACTGAGAAGCGATCGCCAAACTGAACCTTTCCCTTGAGATTGGTGACGGGAGGTCTAGTGTTTGTGCTGTGGGATGGCTGCTGCTTTCCCCTCCAGACGTCCCAAACACCGTGAGAGTGGTCGTGTCGGAAGCCAGAAGGGCTGAGTGCGGTCTGTTTGTGCTTGTCGTTCAGAAGAAGATCCTGATGGAATTGCTGGGCATAGCCCATGAGTCGATTTTTTGCGTCCAAGCCTTCCCGGCGAGTGGTTTTTACGACGTAACATTTTTCAGAATGAGTGACCTTCAGACCTGCCTATTGAGGAAGACAGAGAAGGAGGCTGATCCCCTATTGAAGGATGTCGTGTTCCTGGCGAACGAATCTAAGCAGTGGGTGCCTCTCACCATTCAGTTGTACAACCCGTTTGTGAGGGAAGAAGAAATAAAGGCCTTCTTGTCCAAATATTGCTCGGTGGTCTCTGGGGGTGTCAAACAGACCAACATCCTTGGGACTTTCAACGGGCACCGAAAGTACTGGGTGCAATTCAAGAAGGATGTTGGTGGGATTGGGGGTGTGCTCCATCCACCCCAGGCCTTTTCCATAGGGTCCAACAGGGGAGTCCTACCCCGGCCAGCCCCGCTTTTGCAGAAATTGTTTTGCATTTGGGCACACAAGGGAGGAATGTGAGGTGGGCTAATGTGCAGGAATTGCTTCCAAGCTGGACACCGTACTGCTGAGTGCCCAGTTGGCAAGAAATGTCACTTATGTGGAAATGAGGGGCATCTGGCCAAGCAGTCCCATCAGTGGAAGGGTACATTTACACCGCTGAGAGTGGTAGTAGCATAGGGGTTGGAGGAGGGAGACCCTGATCCTATGCGGAAGCAGCGAAGGGTGTTGGGGCAACATTGGTTGCCGGTGAAGAGCAGGCCCCACCTGTGTCAGGTCCCCAGCCCAGTGATGTGGTGGCGGAGGCGGAGCCCCTTGTGGCGGAGGTGGCTGAGCCCAAATTGGCACCCGCAGAGGGCATGGGAGGAGTGGTGGGGGAAGGAGTGGAGGAGATGGACCAGTCTGGAAGTACCCTGAAAAGGAAGCTGCAAGTGTGGTGCCCCCCTCTCAGGAAATCACAGAATTTGCTAGCCCCAGTGGCCAGGAGGCAGGTACTGAGTCGGCTCATCATCAAAATCAGTAGAGTCCTTTATCAGTACGGGGCAAGTGGAGAATTTACAAGATCTGAGGGGTTTTAGGAAACAGCCCAGTAAAGAGGGAGATCCGGGGATGAGTGGGGTAAAGAAGGAAAAAATCCCATACAGGACAGGGCCGGCGCAAAGCTAGAGGGAAGATGGCAAAAACTTGTCACTTGACTAATGATGTGTTCTTTCTTCCCAAAAAAAAATTTTTTAGATGCGGCTTAAAATCTCCTCCTGGAATGTGAGGCCTGCGATCAGTACCAAGAAGGACGGCTGTTTTGAACTACCTATCTCTGATCGCAGCAGAAATCTTGTGTCTACAAGAGTGTAACCTTATGGAGGAGCCTGCTAAAGATGCTTGGCCGCATGGGCCATCTGTATGGTCAACAGGGGTTAAAAGGAATGAGGGGGTGGGAATCTTGTATAAGGGGTGGAAGTACGAAATCCACCCATGTAGAAAAGGGCAGAGCATTGTTATTAAGAGTTAAGCAAGATGGATTCTGCTTTAAACTACTAAACGTTTATGCTCCCACGAGTAAAAGTGACAGGACAACTCTGTTTGAAAAATTAAAGTTTCTTTTTGCCGGAAGAGACCCTGTCGTGGTCTTAGGAGACTTTAATTGTATTTTGCAGGAGGGGGATAGGAGGAGTGATAGGGGTGGTGGGAGGGATGGGGTTGGTGGGGGGGTTGGGGGGAGTGGTAAGAGAGAGGGTGGGGGTGGATAAATCCGGGAAGGTTTTGAAAGAGATCTGTGAGGATTTAAAACTGATTGATGCCGGAAAGGGTAAAGGCAGCACATATTTTTCGGCCAGTCGCCATACAAATTCACGGATTGATTTTTGTTTTCTGTCTAGAAACTTCCATGTAGAGAACTTCATGACCCAGCGTGCACCGTTCACGTTCATGGTCAGATTGAATGCAGTGTAAGTATGAATTCGGATCAAGAGTATGGGAAGGGTGTGTGGAAACTGAATGTGGAGCAGCTGAAGGATGAGAGTGTGAAGAATGAATATAGAGAGATGTTTGGGAAATGGGAGAAGAGGAGATTGGATTTTGAAAGTGTGGTAGAATGGTGGGAATGGGTGACAGTGAGAACAAAAGGTTTCTTTATAAAGAAAGGGTGTGAGTGTGTGAGGAAAGCAAGAGAGAAGTATAATTGGTGGCAGAGGAGACTGGAATTTCTTGAAAGGCTGAGTGAATGGGGAGTGAATGTGAGTGACAAAATGATAGAGGCAAGAGAGAAAGTGAGGAAGTTATGGTGGCCAAAGGAAGGGCCATTACAGCGCAGGCTAAAGCGGCTGTAAAGGAATCAGACGAAAAGTGTACAAGATTCTTCTTTAAAAAGGTGTATGGTGGCAAGAGTTAGTGAGTGTGTTGGATGAGAATGGTCAGGAAGTGAGTGGGAATGAAAGGGTAAAAGCAGAAGTATGGAAGTTCTATAAAAATTTGTTTGCTGAGAAAGGGAGAGATGTGAGTGCGGAGGAAGATGTGTTGGAGAATGTGGAGAGGTGTTTGGATAAGGAAGATAGGTGTGTGCTAGGAGAGGACGTGAGACTGAGTGAGGTGGAAATAGGTTTGAAAGAAATGAAGAGTGGGAAAACACCTGGAATGGATGGATTGCCGGCTGAGTTCTATAGTGTGTTTTGGGATATGATTGGTGAGTGGGTGCATGAGGTGTGTGTGTGTTTTGAAAGGTGGGAGGCTGCCAAAGAGCATGGCAGAAAGTTTAACTATTTTGCTGTACAAAAAAGGGGAACAAGAAGACTGGAGACCCATCTCGTTACTTAATGTTGCCTATAAGTTAATTGTAAAAGTGATAGCAAATAGGCTTAGGGGAGTGATTGAGAGGATGGTTGGTGAAGAACAAGTGTGCACGGTGCCTGAGAGAACGATTGGTGAAAGTTTGGTATGTTTGAGAGACACTCTGTGGGACTGTAAGGAACGAAAGCAAGTTGCAGCTGTTTTAACGATTGATTTTGAGAAGGCATATGATCAGGTGGCGCATGGGTTTATGTTGAAAGTGCTGGAGAGAATGGGGGTGTCTGAGAAGATGGTTGGATGGGTGAGATGTCTGTATGCTGGGATTGGGAGTAAGGTGCAAGTGAATGGATGGTTGACTGAGGGGGTGGATATAAGATCCGGGGTGAGGCAGGGGTGTCCTCTGTCCCCCATATTGTTCGAAACCGTTGATGAGGATGATTGCAAAGGATAAGTGTGTGAGTGGATTGGTGATTCCTGGAAGTGGTGCAAGGTGCTTGAAAGTGATGGGCTATATGGATGATGTGACTGTGGTTTGTAGGGATGTGAGGAGTTTGAAAAGGGTGAGACTGTTAATTAATATTTTTTGTTTGGTGAGTGGGTTTAAGATTAAATTTGGAGAACAGTGAATGTACGTTTTTTGGGGAATGGGGAGAAGTTGAGCAGAGTGGGTGGAAGGTGTCTGAAGGTTGCGTGAAAGAGTTGGGGGTAAGGTTTGAGAGGGGCTTATATGGGAGGGAAAGTTGGGAAGAGGTGGTGGGCAAAATTCAAAAGAAAATTAATTTTTGGTCGTTAAGGACTTTGACGCTGGAGGGAAAAGTTTTGATAGTAAAGGCAGTAATAATGCCTATGTTGCTGTTCATATACAGTATTTTTCCGGCCCAGGACAAAGTGCTGAGGAAAATAATAAGGATGGTGTTCCAATTTCTATGGTCATCTAGAGCTGAAAAGCTTAAGAGAGACAAAATTGTTAAGAAGAAGATGAATGGTGGAAAGGGAATGGTGTGGATTAAAAGGTTTTTGTTTGTGAGGTATGTGGGTATGAGTGCACGTTTATGTGAGAAAGAGTGTGGCATGATGCATGGTAAGATATTGTAGTGGGAGTGTGTTACAGAAGCTTGGCTTGTGTGAAGTGGACCTAAGGAGGCCGGTGTGTTTTTCAAGGCCCCTTGGTTTTATGCGAAAATTTGGAAAGTTTTGTTTGAAAGAGGTGACGAAAGAGATGTGGAAAGATTGTAAAAAGGTATGTA